GGATAATATAAATGTCTGTTCCTTATTAAGAGGTCTTGGTTCTAGTTCTAACAGAAGAGCTATCTAGTTTGAAGCATTACAACGCTTAATAAAGTCAACCTATGTTAAATAGGATAGAAGAGGTCCTGCAATTCCAATTTTTAACAGACAGCACCTATCAAAAACTTCGCAATCTACAAGAAAACTGTCGTCTCGCTTTGTTCATTCAACAAAATTTGCTATCGATATTGAATATCCATTTCAAATAAATTCAAATAATTAAATCTCAACCTTTTTCAATTTTCTCTATCTCTGTTAGCATTTGCTGAGCTTGGTTCTATTCATTTGAAAATTCCTGAAAGGAAAACTTCCTCAAAAGTATAGAAATTAAATCAATTTTGGAAAATTGAGGAATGTCTGTAGAAAATTCATCATACGTGCAAAGGAAGTTCATTAGAAAAAGGTTTTATTTTCCACATTTAAAGATCCTTATTGCTTTTTAACTTCCACGCAAAAAGTGTGTAAGTTATTAGTATCGGTCAAAACACAATTTTTAATACAGCCAATCAAAGGACTAATTTTCAAAAATCTCAAAGGGTATCATAATATTTGTATTGAGAGGCTGGATTTTTCTGAACATAAACTTTTACAATTGCTCTGCTCAGCTTCCATTCCACTTCGTTTCATTCCGCACAGCTTGTCCACTCCCCTTTCTATAGCTAAGACTTCCATCAATAGTATCATTTTACAGACATTGAACTTTCACAGACATTTACACTTTATACGAGAAATTAAGCAACTTATATGTTATCTAACGTAAGTCAAGCGTGGAAGTTCGTGGCTTTCTACGTAAGTCGTGTTTTTTTTATTTAATTTTTTAGAAGCTTAATTCCTTTATTGGAAAATTCGGAAAATGTCAGCTTCTATATGTTTCTTGACTGTAAATTTTCTGTAATGTCGCCTTAATTCTTAAATTGGAAATCGATTTAATTTTGCTTCTTTTAAGAGTTTGGTAGGCATCAAAATTTTCTTTTTGACTAAATAATAAGACTTGACTTTATAATTCGTCTTTTGAAGGACAGCACTTCCATTAATTGCATATAAATGTTAAAATATTATTTTAAAAAAATTCTTTACTCATTTCATTAATAAAATTGTTTACGACTGATTTTATAGTCTTCTTTACATTCCTGTCATGCAAAAAAGGTTCTCACCTATAATTTATTTTCTGTTGACTCAGGCTTTAAATGTCACAAGGATATGAGGAAGAAGAAGAAGGACAAAAAAAAGGGAAATTGCGTATTGAAGAACATTAAGTTAAGTTATGTTGTATGAAAGTCTAAGAGATGATGGCATAATGTAATTTCTCAGCCTGAAGGGCCTTATAGAGCATAAAAAGGGAGATTGAAGGTGATATTCTTGTCACGTCTTCCATCTTTCTACTTCCAATGAGCCTTTTTTTCTTACAATTTTACCTTCTCACCTTCCCACTCTTTACGATTGTATTTAAGCTTAGCTCAACTTTTAATAAGTAGATGGAATAAAAAAAAGGAAATTTGAATGATTTTTTTTTCTTTCGTCAGCTTCCTTAGTGATGTCTTTTTTCTCATCCGCATGAGCTTCTTTTAATATGAAAACTTTGAAAACCTGTTAAGAAATTTCTTCGTCGTAAAAAAATTTCAATCAACTTTTGAAAATTATAGAAATTGTTAAAAGAAGAGTGCTTTGTTTTGTGGTTTGAGGATTTTTGATGGAGTTCCATCAATCTTCTTAAAAGATTGTTTTTGAATTTTTAACTTTTTCAAGGTTTTTTGATATTTTATGCAGAGATGGCAATCGATTAGCGTTGTTACTGTAGATGTGGCTTTAAGAAAATTAAGAAATTTAAGACTGGATCAGACTAAGCATAGGGTGCACAATGAAGCTCGTTGTATATGGAAGAAGGATAGCCGAAGTGAGATAAGTACCTCGATGGTGACAGTGAGTGGTAGGAAATCACCATTCACCAAATCATTTTGAGGACAAGGGTTCGATTCTCATCAAACCCAACTTATTTAAATTAGTATAAAGATGCCGTAGGATTTGATAAGATTTGCTATTTGCAGTCATCGACTTTAGGGGTCGTTTACTTATGACGTCTGAAATTAAAGGTCATTTTTCATAAAAGAACAATAAATTTCCAGGAATTTCTATTGTTCTTTTCTTGCTGACCCCCCCCCCCCCCCCCCCCATCGCTCCCCTACCGGACGTCATAAGAAACAACACCTTACCAACTTTGCGTTTTTGGTCTTTTATTGAAGAAGATTGAGTTGCTTGATTGATTCATCTTGAAGTTTCAAAACTCCAATGACGTATAATGACGGATAATAATGACGAATAATGATGAATAAAGATGGAAGGGGAGGGGACGAGGGCTTGATTGATACATGTGGAAGTATTGTTATAACAAAAGTTGGATTTCAAATTTAAGGAAATTTCAAACTTCATTGGCGCCAAATATCATTAAACTTTAAACTTCTTTAATACCTTGTCAAATTAACCATTCCTTCCTATTCTCAAACGAACATGACAAGCTGCTTATGTCAATGTCCTTGTAAATTTTAATTAGTAATTCAAAACTTTTTGTCAACGTGTTAATATCGATCACTAATGATGCTAATTAGTTATTCAAATCAAATCATGTATCAACAAATTTCAAATCAAACTTCTTCCTTAAATGTCGATATTTGACTTCATCCTTTTCTAACTCGATCAATTATTCTAATTTTTTTACAATCGAAATAATAATTTGACAGCTATTGAACTGTCAAAAATCGTAGACAAAAGATAGAATAAATATGAATAATTATGACTGATTATTCATACAAATTACATGTTCTACTTAATAGAGTCATGATTGATTGAGTTTGTAAAATGATAATTAAAATAATTAACTGCGACGATTGAGATAAATGTGAAAAAATTTATTAGAAACTTGCAAATTAAATTATGCGGTCAGTGATTGACTGGTTAGATGATGCAGGGGTGTTGATTTATATTTAAGTCATCCAGTGCCTCTAAGGTTGTCAGAGACGTAGCTAGGATTTTTTGTGGGGGATTTCACATTGAATGTTAAGATCTCAAATTGAACCTAGGCACCTAAGGATTCATGTTTTCTTGGATTCACTCCAGATGATAAAGATTGGTATCAATGTGGATTGTTGAGTATTAATTAAGTTGGTTTGAATGATTCATTTAACTTTGAATGAAAAATTTAACCAAACCAGAGCTCCATAAGCGTTAAGATAGACTTACGATGGTGGTACGACTTTTGAGCAATATTTCCCTAAATATCAACTCTCCTGAAAACAAAAACAGAACCTGAAAAATCCAATTTCAACAACAATGGATCGCCTAAGCTAGCAAAAAAAAACACAAAATTCTTATTTTTTTCACAATAATCATTTTTTTGATTTATTCTTTAAATACATTTTATTAATGTTGTGGTTAAATGGTTTGAAATTTTCAATTCATTTTGTTGAAATATTTCATCGCTATATAAAAAGGAGTGTGTGACGTCTCATGCGTATTGCTTTTTTATGATATTTCAATAACTATTTACAATGATAATGTTTTTTTTTATTAAATATAAATTGAATTATTAATTACACAATTCGTTCATCCTCATTTATTATCTACAGTTACGAATTTTTTCCATTATTATTTTTTGATAAAGGTTCATTTTTGTTCCTTTTTAATGTTGGAGTATGCATCCGCCATTAATTCATTTTTCATTTCATTTAATTGCAATTCACAATTTTTTATATTTGCGGGCATTTTTTTTCTCACTCGGAATTATTTTACGGAACTATTTGTGGACAATTAAAATGCAGATTTTTTTGTTTCCAGATGAGTTTTTAATTTTCAATTAATCTTTCAGTGCCACTGATTGTTTCACTTGTAATCTCGAGATTTATGAATTGAAGGATTATTCATAAAAAGTTTTTAATTATTTTTTTTTCAAATTCTCTGTTTTTTGGTGGGCAACCTTGGGAATTTTTCGTTCATTTCATAAATAAATAATTCATACAACTTTTTAATTTTTTAATATTATTCATTAATTAATGATTATTATGGCTCTTAGGCTTCGAATTTGTTAATTATCATGAAAACTACATCATTGTTTCATTTCTATTCTATTACCTATTGTGTTTCTTTTCGTGTTGATGATATTTTACAGAGTTGGATGGTTGCATGATTGGTGGGAGGGTCATGAACACTTGATTTTATTTTATTTACATGTCATTTATATTATTTCAGGAAGTTGAAAAATTTAAAAATTTAAAAAGTTAAGTTTGCCAATTGCAAACTAGATTCGATTTTAAATAATTTTTGTAAGTTAAGAATTTTAATTTCAAAAATATTCAGAATCGTAATACTTTGAATTTCGATAATTTTCGAAAGTGAAAAATTTGAATTTCGAAAATTTTCGAAATGTAAAAAATTTGAATTTCGAAAATTTTCGAATGTGAAAATTTTAAATTTCAAAAATTTTCGAAAGTGAAAAATTTGAATATCAAAAATTTTAAATTTCAAAAATTTTCGAAAGTGAAAAATTTGAATATCAAAAATTTTCGAAAGTAAAAAATTTGAATTTCGAAAGTTTTCGAATGTGAAAATTTTAAATTTCAAAAGTTTTAGAAATTGAAAAATTTAAATATCAAAAATTTTAAATTTCAAAATTTTTCGAAAGTGAACAATTTGAATATCAAATTTTCAAAAGTAAAAAATTTAAATTTCGAAAATAATTTAAGCTGAAACCCCTTAACCCACTTAGCACCATCAACTCTGTCATTATAAATTTCTCATTACTAGAACTTTTTCACAAACAAAAAAATGAACTATTTTCAAAATTAATTTTCGGTTTAAATAAAAAATGAAATGGAAATGTTAATTGGTTCGTTAATTTTTTTTTTGATTACAAAATAAACTTAAAAGCAACAAACAAAAAGAACAAAAAAAAATCATCTTTTCACTTCATTTTAGAGTTGTTTTCTTAATTTTTTTTCTATACAAAGCTTTTATCACACTATAAAAAATATCACAGATTCTATTTTTTTTCTCTCTTTTTGCGAATACATATTACTAAGAAAGTTAAGAATTATAGTTTAAAACATGTTTGGGGAGGGTTAAAGACAGTGAGGAATAATGGAACAAATTTTATATACAAAAAATCTTATTTTGTGCCATCATTTTTGAGAAAAAACGAAAACAGATTTTTTTGGAGAGTCTTTTTCGCATTGTTTTTGTCGTTTTACGTAATTGAATTTTTTATTTTGTCTATTATTAAATTCTTTAGAGCTGCCTAGCAACAACAACGACAACAACAGCAAAATAATGTTGACTTCATCATCGTAACTGTCGTTGTTTCTGCTACGTTGACAGCAAAGCACCGCCGACTAGGAATTTTTACTTCTTTACATTTTCAATTTCTTTCGAAATCTGCGGCTTGAATTTTAATGAGGTTTCCAAAAAAAATTATTTTTCCATCGCGCTGATTTTTTTAATCGCACATTTTTTCTTTGAGATTTTTCGACATTTGAGAGCAAATTTTATCCTTTTTTTGTGCGACAATATTGAACATGCTTTAGATAGGAAATTTGATTAGATGAAAAAAATCTAATTACAATTTTTCCCCTTCCTAGTTTGCCTTATTTTATGACTTTTAAAAAGCTTTCATCGCTTTCTCGTTTTAAATTTAAATTAAATTATTTTCGTATTCCGACAATATTGAGATTTCGTTTTGACGATTTTTGATGTATTTTTTATTGAGATAAACCTGATCAAACGAGAAATCCTTGATTCAATTAATGAGGATTTGAGATACGCGATGTGTAGAGCCGAAAAGGCAGTAAAAAAAGTCGATTGAAATAGGAAATTTTGGGAGGTATTAAGGTTTGATGGTAAATTGAGATAGATTAAATTAATTCTAATGGATATGAGGCTTAAATGGTGATTGAATGTTTTTGAGGTATGAGGCTTAATTAATTTTAGCTATATACAGCTTTGCTAGCCCTTTAAGAGCCTTATTAAATGTTAACGAGCTTGATCAACTAAAAAGAGCCCCTTTCAACCCTTATATAATGTTATTTGGTCCTTGTAGACCCTTTATTGACTTGCAAGACCCTAATTTGTCTCATTTGACACTAAAAAGCTTTAAATGGACCGAACAAAACCTTAGTCGACCTCAAAGAGCCTCATTCAAGACTATAGAGAATTATTTTGCACTTAAAATACTAAGAAAGTTTCATTTAACCTCAAAATGGTCTTACCAGATTCCACTTAATTAAAATCTAGTTGATTGTCTGTACTTAACAAGCATAAACCAAAATTTAATCAAGTTAAGCAAAAAATTCATGAAAATTCTCACTCAATTTCTGCAATTTCCAGCTCGAATAATTTTCAAAGCAGACAATTGAATCTCAATTCGATTTCTTTTCTACAAAATTTACCAGACAGGAGCACACACCTTTGCCATGCTTCATTCTATCTCAAATCACTTCCTACATCAACCTCTTCACACAAAAAATACAGAAAAATCATCATTTTTCACTTTAAATAATTTAGAATCTGATGAAAACCAGACAACAAAAGAAAAGGAACAAGAAGCAAGAAGAAATATTTCCTTGTTATGGAGCAGCAGACAGCACAGAAATTCCTTCTCTTAGCAACATAAAGCTCACATTTTTATGACTCTCATCGTCATCGCCTTTTTTTTTCTACTTCACGCCTGAGAAATTTCTTCTACAATACGAGATTTTTATTGCTGGTGTTGCTGCTGTTTTCCATCCAACAAACAAGAAAATAATGAACAAGGATTTTCATTTCATTCTAGATAATATTAGAAAATAAGATTCATTTTTATGATTTTAGTTTCATGATGAAAAATAAAAATACATACGCAAATCGGGTGAGGAACCTTCTTGGAACGAGAAGGAGATTTGTCTTGTGACAAAAGTATGTAGGAAGGAATACGAAAATTATGTTCATGTTTAGTGAGGAATAAAATTATTTGACAGATGAAATGAGAGACAAAGAAACTTTTTGGGTAGATTTTTGAGTACCTTGATCTTCCTGGATGGTTAATTATTTTTTTTTAAATTGTTCAAACATCCACGATGATGTTGGTTGATGTTTAGTACCGATTCTACATTAATTTTAAGTTTTTTTACAACTAGATCTTAGCATCAGTACCAACATGTTGTGTCCCTATCTTCTATTGACTACACTCCTGACCTCTAACCTCAAATATCCTATAGTACGTATTTTCATAGAGGTGTCTTAGAAGTAAGCGAACACTTTAACCAACAGTAAGTTTTAAATTCATTAACTAGTTATTTTGAGACGTAGCAAGGTTGTTTGTCGTTTAAGACCAAATTAAAATTTGGATCTTTTCGCATGGTCGTTTTTTATGTCATATTCCCTCTTGCCACGCCTCTACCCAGCAGAAATTAACATCATGCACCTCAAATCTACCCAAAATCATCTCAAAGCACTCAGCTCACACAACCCCAAAAAAATAAGGCAAAAAGGAAGACAAAAAAGTGCCATTAACAAGCTATCCAATTTGTCTTAAGACTACAATTGTCTTCAGTCTTTATACTTGTTATTTTTATGTCTCTATGCTCCGAATTGTTGATGTGAAATTGCGACATTCAATGTTGTGGAACAGCACAGAACGAGGAAAGTTGTTCCTTGATGATGATAAAAATTTGTGTAGATGTGTGTGCTAAAATTCTTTTTATTTCCTTCCTTCCTCTCAATTTTTCTATTCAGCTTGAAGTGTTGATAACCAACACACACACATACACATTTGTGCATGTACAACAGCATTTATCACAAAATAAAGTTTCATCTTCTTAATGTTCATCGCCAATCCTCAATGCTTGATTTTTATTATTATTTATCTGAATTGACGATGGATGACTAGGTGGTTCCTCATAAACACACGACGTGTCACTGCACGAACAGCATGTATCGCCTCCACTTCCACTATCTCGACTCGCTTGCTCACAATGATGATGATTATTATGTTTGTAATGATGATTATTGGATTTATTTATCTGCTCTGGATCAACGCCCGATAGGATAGCATCATCTGTCAATGTATCATCACATGAATAACTATTTCCAATTTCATCGTCATCATCATGCTCTGTCGTCTCCTCATTTTCGGAAATTGTCACTTTACCTAAATTACATGAGTTCTCATCATCATCGCCACAATGAGACTCATCGCCAATTATGTATTCGTAATTTGCATGATTCTGATCTGGCGTTGTTGCTGCAGGAATTTGATGATTAAAAGGAATTGTATCTTGTGGCGAATGCTGATGCTTTTGATTACTATTACTATTATTGTTATTATTTCCAGCTCGATGATGATGTTTAGTCTTTTTGTTTCTCTTATTGTTGTTATTGTTATTATTACCATTATGATTAAAATGAGAATGTGTATGATGATTGTGGCGTGGCTGACGTTCCATTGAGTAGCAATCGGACGAACATTTATAAATGGAATTATCGTTGAGTGAGCCAAAACTTGTCGGATTGTGTAGAGTCGTTGGTGTCGTTTGCTTTGAATTTGAGCAATTTGGCAATGCATCGTAGCTATCGCATAATCTAGATTGTGAGTAGGTGGTCCAGGCGATTATGGAAAAGGAAAAAAGAGAAGAAACAAAAAATAATTTTCTCGTTAGTAAAGTTTTCATTTAAAATGAGATTATGAAGATTTATTATTGTGCATATATGTGAGGAAATTTAATTTTGAAGTAGGAAATTTTACGGACGGAAATATGAATGAGACTTTTTTATTTTGGTTTGTTTGTAGAGAATGTTTGTGCTTGATTTTGTCTGACATTGAATTATTTGTTTGAGAAAGTTATTGCTTCTGTGTAGAGAAGATTTTATCTGCAAAATTTTAAGTTTGCTTAAAGTTTCAGACTATTTTATGTGCATTTTTGGGATGTTTTGTATTTGACGTCCATAGTTAACAGGTAACTTTTAAAAAATATTTAAATTGACCTTAAAGTTGAAATTTGTTTAATATCAGCTTTTATTCATTACTCAACCCCCTTCATTTACATCATTTCTACTTAGTTCCCAACATTCTTCATTTCAAGCAACTTTCTCACGAAAAATCTCAAGTGTAAATATCAAAAGTATCTACTTAATAATTTCGCATTAAATTGAAAATGATCTCAACGATGAAAAAAAAATCTAGTCTCTCACAATGTTCAAGTATCAATTCCGCTAAAAATCATCAAGTATTCGCAAAAAAGAAAATTATTCACAGAAAATAAAATCCTCGTCTACATCTGCTATTCTCATTAAGAGCTTTTAATGAAAGAGAATTTTAAAAGAAGAAATCATTAATGAGATTCTATGTAAATTAACATCATTAGCTTGAAGCTCCAAACTGAATGAATACAAATTTATTAAAAATTCTCTTTCAATTCCAACTCGTTTTTTGTCTATAAATTTTCCCTATTTGAAAATGTTTTAAAGCTTCCCACAGCTTAAACACTAAATAAATTACCACATGAAAGCTTCCCTTTTATTTTGGCTACAAAAGCTTTCTATTAAAAAATAATATTTTTCATTTATGTACATACAAATGATTTCCTTTGATCATTCTACTCTTATCAAAGTGAGGAATGAGATGGGGAAAAATAGCATAAATTTGATTTCAGTTTCTCTTTTTTCAATTTCCTTAATATGCATACATAAATCTTTCACTTTCATGTTGTATGTTCTTTCTAGTCATTCATTTTTTGGTTGTAGCATTCAGAATGTTTTTGTGTATATGCAAAACAAGTAGCAAAAAGATGAAATTATAGGAGAGCTCCCTTGAGGGTATTTGGTTTGAATTTATATTATTGGAGCTTTGTGGCAATTACATTTAATTAAATGATGCAAAATCAAAGTTTGAATCATCAAGGTACAGGTAAGACTACAGGATCGACAGGTCTGCAAGTAGTTTAGATCATTTTCATTTCTAAGAGGGGTGCAGGAATCACCAGATTTTTTCTTGAATTATTCCGTTAAGGAATGATTGATCTTAACCATGCTAAAGGAAATATATAAGGTTAAATAATCTCAAAAGAGGTAGTCTAGACATTCTTGAACCACCAACTACACTTATATGCATCAAAATATCACTCGATAAAGTTAAAGAAGCAGGGAAGACAGCTTCAAATTAAATCACACGAAGTTCAAATCCCAAAAAGTTATATAAATTAGTATAGGTTAGCATCAACTTTATGGAATGATTCAGGGTTAATAAGGAATGTGTTAGTAAATGAATGAACCTTATGAGTCAACTCTTAAGCCTAGTCAAAGCTCACACCCTCATAAACTTAAAACTTACCCCTGTCAGAGACTTTTTTGTGGTTCATTCTTGACAGCCCCAGTCTTATTATTGGGATTATTCTTTCGTATCACCCATGGACTTGGACAATCTTTAGTTTGGGGTGAACTGTGAATAAATAATGTTAAATATGAGTGAAGAGATGGTATTGAATAGTGTCTATGTCCTGGATTTTTTAACAGGGGTAGACTTAGAAATGTAGAAGATAATTGGAAAGTAGCTTCAATATTCATAAATGAACGACTTTATGGCCTAGCATGAAAATACCAAAAGATGTCATAATAATGAACATAAAAAGTTCCCATTCCCGACAGAACAATTCAATTTAATGATCAATGAGTCCCATTCAATAATGATTCACCGAATATAATGGCAGTCATAAAATGTTGCACAATTCAGACCAAAAAACAAGATCACATCTACAATCTTTACAGTTTCCTCGAAAATTTCCTTTCTCAAAACAAAAGTTTCCCCAAGGGTGCTGTACATACATGTATGGTACAAGAACATGAAATACTTCGACATGCAAGAGTGATTTACATTTCAAAAATCAAAGAACATTATTTTCTGTCTCTACATTTATGGTACAGAGGATACTATAAGGTTTGATATATTTATGTACCATACACGTTGTTTGATGATGATGATGATGATACTAAATAACCAGCAGAGCATCAAGAACAAGAAAATGCCAAAAGCTTTCTCTCTTACCTGGAATTAAATTTCCTCTGCTGATATGGCTCATATTCATTATAGATATGTTCAGTTATCAATGCTTGCTGTTGTGGTGGACAGCATGGATTATTAGAATTGTTCATCATGTGGTTATAAGCTTGCTGTTGATTCATTGCCGACTCGTGACACAGGAATGGAAGTGGTCGAGTTGTATATGGCATACCATTTGAGGAATTTTTACTTGATGATGTCGCATGATTGTAGTTATACTCAGACCCTTGTGATATGTTCATGCTGTGATTAAACAAAAGGAGGAAGTTAGAGGCAATTTCTTATAAGACACACATTCATATGACCGAGACTTACTTTGGCTGTTGCTGTCTTGATGACATTCCTGAGCCGCTACGGGAGCTTAATGATGATTTCTTGCAATTTGGTACGATGCCTGCTGTGAAAGGATCGGATCCATAATCGGAAGACATTTCCGGAATTGGTGGTGGGCCCATTGGTGGTGGTGGAAGGAAGTCTATCCAATTTGTAGGCGCTAAATGGAAATCAAAGTTTTTGAATTATTCAAATGATAAATAAAGTTGGGACTTACCTGGATTATAATGTTTTGGAAACATACAATGCATCTGTTTACCATCAGAATGTAAACTAGACGTACCCGATGATCCACCCGCTCCGATTTCGTGCTCAGAATGTGAATGTGATGGATTTGTGCACATATCCGGTGCCATTGAATTAATTAACATTGTCGTAGCATACGGCGTTGGATTGTCGGGAGATTTTCGACAATTATAGAAAGAAGTAATATTTCGTGGATCTACTTCCGCATAATCAGTACCACAGTCTGTATAATTTCCTTGCGATGATGCCAATTGTGAGTTTTCAAGTAATTTCATACCACTTAGTCCGGAATCTTTATCCATATCACCTGTTCGCCATCCACGATTATTTTGTAATGGCCCTATAGATGATTTAAAATCAATCCATAAGCTCTCTTTGCCATTAATATTCATCATCACGTCGCCACCATTAACGACGCTTGGAACTGTTCGAAAGATATAAAAAAAAATATTTTTTTTTAAGGCGTGAGTAATAAAATGAAATTCATAATGTATCATTAACATTATCTTCTGCTTCGAGACTATTTTTGGATAGTGTTTATTGTTCAGCAGTCAGTCAGTCAGTCAGTCAGTCAAGCAGTATTAGAGGATGAACCATAGACAGGTTGATTAATATTTAGAAACAAAAGAAGACTTTTTGGATGGAAAAAGAAGCATAAAAACATAAAAGATGATACAAGTGCTGACTGGCGATTTTATGGATGATGAAATAAAGAAAATATTAAATAATTTCAAATTCCATCGACGTAACATTTTTCTGCTGTGCCTTCAATGGTCAAAAAGGGGGAAGAAGAAGATGATGATAAAGAGAATTATTACGTGAGGTAAGCAACAAATGAAACTGACGTAGAATTTCTTTTATTTATGTCTATTTCTTTACTAGATGAATGTGAATAAGAAGAAGGATGGAAGGAAGACTTTAAATAATTTTAGGGATCGATATCAGAAGAAAGGAGAGAGCACTATTATTTATTGATGTGTGCATATAATTTTATTCATTGAATATATTTTTTGTTGATTTATTTTCTTGGAATTTTTGTAAGTTTCTTGTGTTTATTTTTAGATCCAATGGTTATTTATATGGAATTTCAGATAGTTTTAAAAATTTTAAACTTTTGCATCTATAAGAAATTGAAGCAAATGAGTTTGCTTCTTATTAAATTGAAACGAATAATTTCGCATCTTTAAAAAATTGAAGCGAATAAGTTTACATCTCTAAGAAATTGAAGCGAACAAATTCGTATCTGTAAGAAATTGAAGCAAATACGTTTGGATCTTTAATAAATTGAAGCAAATAAGTTTGAATCTTTAAAAAATTGAAGCAAATAATTTTGCATCTCTAAAAAATTGAAGCGAACAAATTCGTATGTGTAAGAAATTGAAGCAAATAAGTTTGGATCTTTAATAAATTGAAGCAAATAAGTTTGAATCTTTAATAAATTGAAGCAAATAATTTTGCATCTCTAAGAAATTGAAGCGAATAAGTTCGCATCTGTAAGAAATTAAAGCAAATGAATTTGTATCTCTAAGAAATTGACCAAATAAGTGTGCATCTCTAATAAATTGAAGCAAGTAAGTTTGCATCTCTAAGAAATTGAAGAATATAAGTTTGCATCTTGAAAGTTGAAGCAAACCTTATAAAATAAATCAATTTATTGACTACTGAATTTGCGCACCTCAAAATTCAAAAATCTCAAATGATTCAATCCCACAAAAAAACACAAATCAACAATTTTGGTCACATTTAATGCAATAAAATAATAAATCGTCTTCAAATTTATAAAGTCATAAAACCAATTCAAATTTCCTCAAAATAACTTTCATTTTTGCTTCATTTTGGATTAGCAGAATTAAAAATTGATGAAAAGTAATTTAAAAATTTTAATAGCATTTAAAATTGTTTTACGTTATGAATATCAATCATGATCATGAATTTTTTTATTACATTCCCTAAATGAAGTTTTTTTTATTTACAGTCTACCTATGTCAAAAATCTGCTTATAAATAAAAAAAAAATTATGTTAATTAAATATTCAGATCACGACTCGACATGTAATAAACTGACCATCCCTTTGAGTAAATATGAAAAACAATATCATTAGAATTTGTGTGGAATTACTGACACGTTTTGTTAGTCTTTACATCCATCAATTCAGTTGTATTTGTTATTAACATGAGTGATAATTTAACAGAAAATCGATTTGTAAGCAACTTTTTGTTACAAAATAAATTCTTTGAAAATAATTTATTCAAGTCAAACTTCCTTTCCATCAAATAATATCAAACAGTAGAAACTTCTTCTTTTTTCGCTACAAATGTTCGAAATAAATAATTCAATATTCTTGTCAATATTTATAGCTTAAACAATAAACAGACTTCCGGATATTCGAATGTGTTGAACATGGAACAAAGCATGAATGTTGTAGATATGCTTTGTGGCCGGAGGGTGCCAATGGGATGGATGGAGAACAGAAAATTCAGATATTGATCAGAAATTTTTGATTATAGACACAAAAGTTTTAACTGAGTCAGAAAGTTCTGATTTATAGCAAACTGGGGTAACCCAACTAAGTTAAAGTAGATTTTAGGCTTGTGTTTCCAGACTAGCTCAAGCTATCAGCCCAGAACATTGCTCTCTGCAGTCCACAACTAAATCCAGTCCGTTGGCACACTCCCAACCTCACCTATCCTCTACATCCAATACATCTATTCAATAATTCACAAAACTATGCTCTACTTACCGCTCAAATGTTGAAGTCCTTTCGATAAATTCTTCCTCTTTCTGTACAGGAATCGTAGAGTAAATGCAGTCGAGACAAGAAACATGACAAGTACAATTGCAATGACTGCCATAAACCACGGTTCATTAATGATGCTTTCATTTGAATATGGTTCGCCCGAGGCTGAAATGCCACTCGGATGTGCTCGTGGTGGTGTAACAAGATGTGCTGGATCCATGATAAGGGACACCTTTATGGTTTAAAAAGGAAGTAGAAAAAAAACTTGTAATTTATTGCAACTTTAATGAAACATTCATGACTTACCGGCTTGGAATATGGCCCAGCGCCAACTCGAGTATATGCAACAACACGAACATTATATGTAGCACCTGTTGTCAAATTATGCAATCCAACTGATAATGTCGTTGCATTTAAAGTCATTTGAGCGAGAATTTTTGTCGAGTTTCCAGCTTTAACTTGAATTTTGTAGCCGAGTAAAATGCCATTGTGATCCTGAGGAGGTGGTGGATTCCAACGAACAACGCCCGATGTTAAATTTAACATACCCACTTGTACGTTTGATGGAGATGCTGTGGGAACTAATGACAGAACATGGTAAAAAAAAGTAAAGAACATGTTAGAATGAATTAATTCCGTTTTTTTGCTTTTGTTGCAATTCTTCACAAATGAAATAAAAACAGCAGAGCATGTTCAACGAGACGTAACATGGGAGAGTAAAATGAAATGTCAACTGAACTTACCATCCTCCAATGTTTGTACGATTTTGGAATTACTCGGCATGCCTTCAACTGAGCGATAAAATGGTGATATGAAAAATTCATACTTTGTGAACTTGCTGAGACTGCCAACATCGTACATTTCAAGATCAGGCTCAGTGACGATGTGTGTGATATACTTTTGAGAACCACTGTTCAATTCTCGATATCGAACGAGGAGACCCTAATTTTTTTAAAGGAAAAATTCAATTTTAAGTCCTGTTTATTGCGGATAAAATTCAATTAAATTATTCCACTGAATTACCTCAATGTAGTATTCCGTATTACTCAATAACAAATGCCATTCGAGACGTACTGCCGTTGAATTAACTGCCAGAGCATCTGTCAATTCCAGAACCTGTGTGAGCATTACGCAAAAAAGGAAAATAATATGAAATGAGAGAACACAAATTTTACAAGTGAATGATTTGATTGAAAGGGAATTGAATGGCACAATTTCAATTTTTTTCAATTTTTTTTCTTCTTTCTTGCTGCTTTCCTTCCTTCCTTCCTACATTCTTATTTTTTTTTCTGTTCATGACGAAATGTTGATGTTGATTTGGAATAAAATAAGAAATTTGCTCAAAAAATATAAAATAATTTTCATGTTGGCGGTGCCAGCTTTTGTTAAGGGTTTTTGTGGGCTTATTTGTTGATCATGTGGAAGTAATGTGCTTATGAGGATGGGGGAATGCGGCTTATAAGTTAACAAGGGGTTTTCATTTGTTATGTGCATGCATTCAAAAAGTTACGATATTCCATTGAATTCAGAGACTGGCTTCGAGGACTACCCAGGTGACCCTTTCCTAGTCAAATTATATGGCAAAATGTCTCGTGAAACCAGCTTCTGGAGTTGGTTTTTGCAAAAAATAAAGAACTAAGTTGTTACACCAGTATAAAAAAATGTCTAGCTTCAATCCTGAATCTAGCTGAACCTAAGAAACAAAACCTTTCACCACATCACCCACAAATAAATCCCATTACCAAGTTTTACAGAATAAAATTCAAATTAAAGTGAAGTAATGTGAAACAAAATTGAAATGGAAATGGAAGTGCGTGTTTCTGATCGACAGTTGTGTGTGAGAGTTCATCTGTGCACAGTCGACAGGAAAAGCGAGTGAGAGAGAATTGAAAATTTCCATTTAATTTTCAAGAGCATACGATGAATAAAAAATTTATGCTGTATTTAAAAATAAGCAGGAATAATTTTTTTTTATTTCAATTGCATTATTAAATTATGCGGAGACGCAATAAAGCCACAGCAAATTGGCAGTTGGATATGCGGGAGAGAGACAGAGACACAACTTTTTTTTGCCATACATTATGAAAAATTGCTCATTGAAAATTAATTTATGCCTTTATGTTAAGCAAAAATAACTTTTTTTGTCGCAAGTGGTTTCTCCATTATTCATATCAGCATGCTTAATATCTATGGAAATGATGACAATGTGAACGAAACCTTGCAACTGAATGAAAATGAAGCCAATTCAGATGGAAAAGAGCTGAATAAACATTGCTCATGAATTGAAATGCAAAGGAAGGCGAAATGTTACGATAAGTACGAGTTTGATGAAGATTTGGGGGACTGAAAATTATGGAAAAAATTAGTGCGTGGATCTGTGGATTGGAGATGAGTATTTGGACCTCAAACATCTTATCTTGCTTTAAATAATCTTAGCTATGGTTTATAAAAGGTTTAGCTCAAACTAAGGTCAGTGGTGCTCAAATTGTGAACCGTCATTGAAGCATCGAACTTTATGAAAGCAAATCTGCGAACCGAAAAGTAAGTCCTATCCTGCAGAGTGTTTAAAAACTCGTCATTACAAAGAATCTTGTTTGTCGGTATGAAAATGATTTGTACGAAACTTAAGATATTACACTAGCTTACACATTAGGATCCAGACTCCAAATTTATACATCTAGGTCACTATTGTAAGTGTAGCTCTAACCAACCTACAACTAAGTGAACCCTAGTTTAATCAACGCAACTGAATCTTTTCTAAATCAGATTTAATTTTCTCAAAATTAATTTTCACAAAATTAATTTTCCCCATCAACTCTTGAAGCATCAAACCCCAAAACTCATCTCATATTTTTTTTTTCTCATCTCAAAAGAACCATAAAAATGCGGAATCTCTCGAAAATATATAAATAAATGTGTATATAAATAAAATAATTTGAATGCAGATTAAATTTTACTATAAATGAGCAACACAAAAAATAAAAAAAAATATTCCAATGTTATGTTTATGTTAAAAAACATTTCGCAGCCTTCCGTCGACAGAATATTTTGACCACAGAAACCGCAACATGAATGAAAAGAGAGAATATAGTCTGTACGAACAAGGCAAACAAAAAAAAAAGCATTCATAAGAATTCAATTCAATTCAATTCAAAGCATAAACAACATTTTTAAAATTCATATTCTCTCTTTTTTTCGTTATATTAAACACTTAAGTCTTGGATTTTTCACCGATTTTGTAATCCGCATTCATTCTGCTGTTTTTTAATTTAAATTTTTATTCTCTTTTGCTAAGCAATATCTGTACTTATTCAAACGTAATGTTATTATTGGGATGTTGTACAATTCAGGAAAATAGAGTAAGTATTTATACAGACAGAATTTGATGAATGATTCATAGGAGATTTACTTTATGTTCTTGTAAAGAATTTAAATTTAAGATTTAAAAGTGAAATTTTATGTACCGACATGGTTGAGGTTTCTGGATAAGTTGTTCATTCGGTTTGTTTCTATTTGGCTGGGAGCTTGAAGAAGTAAAGGTGCAAATCATCTGCAATAAGGAGTTCTAAGGCCAGTTTTCTAGGCTTCGACGGTTTCTTACCCTAGTCATAATCTGTGCCTACTGACACCCTTCTTACTATGATTTCTTTATACTTAAGGTCTCGAACATTTGACAAATTCTTTGATAATTTACTAAAATCCAGGGGTGTCGGACGGTTCTTTTTTCTGCGCTCAGAAATCAAAAAAGAACATTATTTTCTATCATATTCAATTTTTGTGATATAGGGTAAACCATGTTGAAATTTGTGCAATGTTGAAATTTGTGCACTCAAATAAAATGTAAATCATCAAAACTAAACCATTAATAGTAAAAATTTGTATGCAGTTCTTTGCAAAACAGTTGCTCAAACATTTCTATTTCATTTTGGATTGTCTTGAACGTTTTTAAAAGCTTTAAATTTCAATTATTCAAAATCCCATACAAATTGAAAGTTTTCATCTTTTTAATTCTTTGGACACAACTAATGATTCTTCTTACCTCATCAGAGTTAAAAAGCTAATTTTCTTCATTGCTTTATCGTTTAAAAAAGTTTTTGTTTAAGAAAAGTCATTGGAAGTGCTTTAAAAATTGATTTTAAAATCAGTTGTTCTCAAATGTTGAAATTTGTGCGAAATTTTTTGACAAATTTTAAAATTTGTGTGCTTTTTGTCGTAGAAAGCAATGGCACATTTTGTCAACAAAAATAATTATTTACTTTCAAAAATCGGGTTTTTAAAGGCATGAATGAGGATGAAGACAAAACAACATCAAGAAGACATGAGCTGAAAGGACTGAAAAATGTTTTTGTCTCAAAAATTTAAACAGTTTCAAGAAAAATGCAAACAACTTCAAAAATTAATATTGGAACAAAAAAGCATTCAAGAACTACGTTTTGTTCTCTGTCCAGTCCCGATTATATGGTTAAATAAACACATTATAATTCGTTATAAATACTCTTTTTCTTTTATTTTCCAAACAATGCTGTAAAATTCTGTAAAATTCATGCTGAATAAATTTTGAAAAAAAAATTTCAAGGATGTGCTTGGTTTTATTGGTAGCTTTTCGTCATACTTCGTCAAAAGAAATGGATTTAAATATTGAATTCTTCTCTATCTCTTGATAATAAATTTGAAAATCTTGAAAAAAGTTCATTTATGCAGCAATGTCCTTTAAAATTGAGATGGAGTTTTTTGGAAGTGTCCCTTGAAAGCAATCAACTATTAAAACTCTTCTTAAATGTTTAAAAATATTGTTTGTTTACATTTCTGAATTGAAATGTGCCAATGCTTACTGTCAAAAAAACGCACAAATTTCAACATTTTTTCGCACAAATTTTAAAATTTTCCGCACAAATTTCAACATTTGACCAAAAATGTCTAATTTCTCTTCCAATAAGCTGCATTACCATCAAAAAGTATTAAATAATGAAAATTCCAACAATTTATGATGATTTAAGCCCAGCAGTAAATTTTTAAAGTAACGCATTAAAAAGTTATAAGCAAATGAAATCTTCAAGTGCAAAAACACACAAATTTCAACATGGTTTACCCTATTTAAATTTTTAAATTTGAATTTCTAAGCACACGCCATAAAAATATGTTTTTTTTGGAAAATTCAAGCTTGATCAAGCTTTCAGTTATAATTAAGGAAATTTCAACAAACAAATTCAATGTTTATTTTTAGAAAATGTTTGATAGTGTTAGTGTGGATTCAAATTTAACGGCAAGATTTCTGTTTGCCACCCCTGGCTTAAAATTAATTACTTATTTTTAAATATGATAAAAACCAATATTTTAGTTTCATTGCTTGACTTGTAAGATAATATCCATATAAAGTAAATTAAAATTTCTACCATGCTTTTCCTTAAAATGAAAAATCTCTCAACAAAACAAACTTCATCCTCTAAATTTATATAAAATGTGCATTTGAAAAATTATTGCACATCACAAAGAGAGAATCGAATACATTTGAAGTACTCTTCATCAGCAATTCAAAGCAGAGTTCTTCTTATATTTAATTTTTTTATACCATTTAGCATTTGAAGTGGATTTCATTTCATACATAACATACTTCAGATCTACTAACATGATGGTTTAAAGCTTTTAGCAGTAAATTATTCGAGTCTCAATCCAACTCGACCGTGAAATCGGAAGCAAATAAAGCAGAAGAGCACGAAGTGGAGGATTTTTTTATTCTCATTCATTTAAAATGCGATAAAATAAAATTCAATTTTTTTCGGATGTACCAGCACATGAATTCCATTTTCTCTTAAAATTGATTCGAAATAAGTAGTGAGAAAATGATTGAAATTTCAATAGACATAAACTGTATTAAATTTAAATGTTTTCAATTTTCTACACTAAATCGATTTAGTGTAACAACAGGAGATGTGTGGATTGATAGACGTGTTCTCTCGGGTGCTGTTTTCAAAATATTTTGTCCATTTTACATGAATGAAAGAGTTGGGAAGAAGAGGGAGTTACAAATGAAGCTATTGGACGTAGAAATGGCATTGATAGAACTTTAAAGATTTTTCTGAATAACTGTTGAGATTTTTGCAACATTAATTCTCATA